AGAGTTACTAAACCCAGAACGCCTGCATTCACAATAACTGTGTCTCCCACAGTACACCACAAAATGGAAAATGAAATTTCTATTAGAATATAATCAACTCTGAATACCTTTTCTTACATCAGCATTAGAGCAGACTTATCGACTTCTATCAGCTCCAGGCAGAGTACACTATTAAAGCTTGTCTAGGAGGAGTATGCATTTTTGGCTATTAGGATGCGATGCAAAACCGCCTTTTATGGACAGTGCTGATTGCCCTGTGCTGATCACATTCACTTTCCAATGAAAAACAAAACCTTCTCTTGCAACATACACACTAAGTCCTGAGCATGAGCAGAGTGACTCACACAAATGTCTTATCAGTGAGATAAGATGGGGGACACTGGAATAAAAGGAGTGATCAATAGAAGTAGGGTCTCAACAGCGGTTATACAGATGCAGATGATTACCCCTTATGTTCCACAGTGAGAATAAACAATACATGTTTTACTGCTGTGTGCTAGGTAACATTTTAACTGCAGCTATGTGATGAGACACCAGTCTGATAGGTGGGAAGCCTCAGCTTTCGTCCATTTAACTGCCATATTCTGCTAGTTAGTATGGGAGATGTGTCAATCTCACTGAGCTTCAAAGAGGCAAACGTTCTGCCCCGCTAAGCTGGTGCTTCCCTGTGGCTGAAGATACAACTTTATTTTTCGCATGTCAGTGCGATGACAGATTATTAAAGGTTGAAAATCCATAAAACGCTACGTATAATACTAGAACTGCTAATGAATCTGTAGCTGCCTACACTTAAAGGTGGAATACACGATAAGAAAATCGACTCAATTGATCATCTTCCGACGACCGAGAGGCGTGCGTCGATGTTGTCGAGATCGTATAGACCGCACATTAACCAAGTCTAAAAAAATAGTTTCGCCGGCAATACGTAGTGCTGACTCTCCTTACATGTGGAAGTGAATGCAGTGTGCACTGACTTGGAGCTCTCGCCCTTCTGGCCAGAACGAGAGATCTACACAACAACTTAACAGGCAATGATTTAAATATAGTTTATTACATTAACTATATGCATAACTATTGATATAACCTAAAAAAATAATATGGCATAATTTCAGATTTTTATTATTCTCCATTAGGCCAATACTTCTTTAACATTTGTATTTTTTGTTCGTGTTGACGAAGATTCCTTGGACATAAACATCCGGGTCATCTTCTGTTTTCCACTCATGCGTGAAGCGCTTGATTAGATTTTTTTTTTTTTCGTGTGACAGTCATACCCACCGCATAGCAATTCCGTCCCGTTCATATGCGCAACGACAACAATTATCACTGCTGTTCAACCTTATTTTTTTGTTCACATATATCGTTATCGGTACAACATCCTCATCAACTAAAGAAAAATCGTTCGATCAGTGATTCCGCAAATTTTTGGGACAATTTTCTTATCGGTGTACGTCATTGATTACATTACTACAAAAAAGTTAGCATCAAAAATGAAACCCCGGAATCCTGTGCCTTACTATATTACCGAATCAATGTCTATCACAAAAAGCTTCTATCAAAAAGGCCATCATATATATACCACTAATCAATAGAGTGCTATACATGTGTATAAAACCAAATTACTGCCATAAAAATAAAGTGGCACTGTTACCTATCACTGTCTCACAGGGCTTCTATAAAAACACAAATCAGTTGCTGTGTAATCAAAGCCAATATATTAAGTGTGTATTGAGTGTTCTTACTCAATATGATATCCTTTTACAGATGTGCAGAGAATACATTATTTGATCACTTGTGCATAGTCAGCAAATTATTAATAAAATACTCACACATTTCAAAAATTACAAAATAATAGTGCTAAGAAAATATAACAACTGTGCAAAAATTATTTGTGCAAAAAATTATATAATATATTATACATCTTGCGTTTACAATATCTAGTCTATTATATAACCATCCACTCTGTGTACAAAATAAAGTGTATTTTTGCAATATTCTGTCATTTCGTGACTCAAATCCTATTGTATCTCACTCGACACATCACAAAAACCCCTTATGTGTCATGAGAAGCATCTACATCCTTACTTAATGACGACTTCTTTCAGCTCCATCAGGTCCCCGTATGATTTTTTTTGTTTTCGTGCAGAGTCCTTTCCACTGTTGCTCTCCAGGGGTGCTTGGCTTTTTACAGGGGAGAAAGGCCAGAGGCTGCCTCGCAATAGCGTAATTCTATTTTTTTATTCAAAGCTTAATAAAAAACCCCTTTATAATCCACTTAACAGAATATGGGTGCTTGCGATACTATACAAATGAAACTTGCAGCGTTTAGGTAGCATGGGTCTGTCAACTGACTTGAGCTCTGGGTAGTATGCAAAGAGTGGAGGGGTTTTGGAGCTCTCTCCCAAGTATGTCAGTTAGTCATGTTTAGATCTCTTGGGTGGGTGAATGTCCCTGGCCTGAGTCTTGAGCTTGAAGTATTTTTGATTTCAAGCTTACAGGCTGATTCTGGGACATATGAGCAGAGCTCTGGTTCCTCAATGCGCCCAGTGTCTCTATCACATTATGGCCAGCACATATCAAGGTTTGTCTCAAAGTTTCCCCCTGTAGACAGGCCAGCTGTTTCCAGTCTTTTGGGTTCTGTGATCTCCACTGATATTGGGTGGGAGTTATACCCTCTTTGTCCTAAGGTATGTGTACGCTGTTGCTGTTTCCAAAGGAGCAACACTGTCAACCTCTGAAAATTGGGGCCTGAAAATACACGGCTCCAATTTCGGGGGACTCCTATCGTCTCCTCTCCTTCTCATCTACATTGGGAATGGCATTTGGGCCCACACAGGCTCGTTCGAGGCATAGGGATGGGTGGATCAGGCGAATAAGAGTCTTGGAGCAAGGGCACTTGCAATAGCCTCACACAGATGGTTGCAGTAAATGGGTTTCTATGGCATGCCTTTTAGTGAACCTGTCTTTTCTTGCAGGGCGAATTTGGGTAATACTGGTAGTCCTAGAAATTGTTTGCAGACAACATAAGGCTGAGGTCATCATCTTCAGCTAGCTTGTGTTTTTTCCTGGTACCTCCCCAAATTTCTCAACAGTACACAATCTCCCCTGTATGGAGATCTTGCACCTTCCACCTTGAGGTGAAAGTCCTGTAAGACAAAATGTCAGGGCTTGACTGTATGGCGACAGGGAGGTGACGTCAGAGTGACAACCGGAAGTGACACAATCCCAGTGATGTGGTGAGACACAGTATGTTACTGAGTACTTTGGCCAGAGCGTAACTCTGAATTTGATGCTATATAGGTTGTTTTATCGCTGTGAGTATATGTTTTGGTTGAACAAGATTACACTATGAGGAGCATTAGTTTCCTCTGTGCTTGAGTTCCAAGGGCAATTGAAGACTAGTTTAACGGGGACTGCTGACTAGTCCTGGATCCTCAGCTACCATAAAAAGCATTTGAGCGCATTGAGCCAATCAGTAATGAGAGGCAATAAATAGCAGTGAGTCTGGTGGGAAGAGGGGAGTGTGTTTCACCTAAAACAGCACAGTGGTGGTGTGAACCTCTCAAGAGAACCAGAAGCTAAAGTTTTTTGTATGGGCTGTATTATGAAGGACATTACTATTTCCTACTATATCGTTGCACATTGTTTTTCATAAGTGGGTGGAGGTGTGGTGATTTCTTAATTCCAAAGAACAAAGGTATACCACTCAGGCAAACAATCCAGATGAATCACACAACAGTGCAGGCTCTGGCTCGCAACCCCACACGATGCAATAGGAAGAAGGGTCAGCCGCACACCGGAGGATAGATAAATATAGTGTGTATTTATTGATCCATAATGGTTATGATTAAGCACGAGTGTCAGGGCTCCAGGGTGTGACCAGAGGTATGTGACTGACGCAGGGAAACGCAGGCTTCAGATATGTTATAAATATATTTATTAACACTAACAATACATAAACGCAGTGCAATACTAAAACATACACAGTGCAAACGAACCAAACCAAACCACCCACAGATAACAGTACATACAATGCAAGCGTCGTCAGGCAGTCCGGGATTATCAACAGGAGGTCAGAACGTATGGGGATTAAGCAGGAGAATGGTCAGACAAAGCCAGGGTTCAGGAGCAGGAGAATGGTCAGACAAAGCCAGGGATCAGGAGCAGGAGAATGGTCAGACAAAGACAGGGTATCAGGAGCAGGAGAATGGTCAGACAAAGCCAGGGATCAGGAGCAGGAAAATGGTCAGACAAAGCCAGGGATCAGAGCAGGGTCAGCAACAAATCGGACAAAGCCAGGGATCAGAGCAGGGTCAGCAACGAATCAGACAGGAACAGGAACAGGAGCAGGAACAGGATACAGGGCCCAGGAGAAACACACACCAAGGCAGAGTCTGCAGGTCTGGCCATCCCTTAAATACACCAGTATAAGCAGTTTCAGGTGTTGGTCCTGGCTGCAAAGGTTGAGTCTCTGATTGCTGGGAGCACCCGCTGGCCAGCCCTGGTACTACAGCCCATAAGGCAGGTGAGTCCCACCATTGCTGGCCAGTCCATTCCTGACAGTACCCCCCCCCCTATCAAGGAGCGGCCTCAGGACGCTCCAAACAGTCCTAGCTGGGCAAAATGTTCCACCGCCCGGGTCTGGTAACTGGCAAGATATCAAAGACTGGGCACACCGGGCTGGACTCCGGGCAGCGGCACATCGGGCATGGACTCTCTGGGCAGCGCACATCGCTCGGGCACGGGACTCCGGGCAGCGGCACATCGGGCATGGACTCCGGGCAGCGGCACATCGGGCTGGACTCCGGGCAGAGGCACATCGGGCTGGACTCCGGGCAGAGGCACATCGGGCTGGACTCCGGGCAGAGGCACATCGGGCTGGACTCCGGGCAGAGGGCACATCGGGCTGGACTCGGGCAGAGGCACATCATCGGCTGGACTCACGGGCAGAGGCACATCGGATCACCAGGCGAAGCAGCAGGCAGTGGTGCCACCAGGCGGAGCAACAGGCACCGGGCCCCCAGGCGGGGTGACAGGCACCGGGCCCCCAGGCGGGGCGACAAGGCATCGGGCCCCCAGGCAGGGCGACAGGCACCGGGCCCCCAGGCGGGGGCGACAGGCATCGGTACACCCAGGCGGAGTGACAGGTCTTGGGCCCCCAGGCGGAGCGGCGGGCGCCGGACCCCCAGGCAGAGCGACAGGTCTTGGGCCCCCAGGCGGAGCGGCGGGAGCCACGGGCCGGACCCCCAGGCGGAGCGACAGGTTCTCGGGCCCCCAGGCGGGAGCGGCGGGCGCCGGACCCCCAGGCGGAGCGACAGGTCTCAGGCCCCCAGGCGGAGCGACAGGTGCTCAGGCCCCCAGGCGGAGCGGCGGGGGCCGGACCCCCAGGAAGGCGGAGCGGCGGACGCCGGAGCCCCCAGGCGGAGCGACAGGTCTCGGGCCCCCAGGCGCGGAATGTTAGCGGCGGGCGCCGGACCCCCAGGCGGAGCGACAGGTCTCGGACCCCCGACAGGTCTTGGAGCGACAGGTCTTGGGCCCCCGGCGGAGTGGCGTGGCGGGCCGGACCCCCAGGCGAGCGACAGGTCTCGGGCCCCCAGGCAGAGCGGCAGGCACCGAGTCACCAGGCACGACAGTGGGCTCTGGGACAGTCAACTGGCATGACCGCTGGCACTGGGTCAGACATTGGATCGTCTGGCTGGACAGCGGGCATCGGGGTCACCCCGAGGCAGATCAGGTAATTTGGCTCGACAGCGGGGACACCCGCGTCATCTGGCAAGGCAGTGGGCTCCGAGTCAACTGGCATGACCGCGGCACTGGGTCAGACATTGGATCGTCTGGCTGGACAGCGGGCATCGGGGACACCAGGCATCAGGTCATATTTGGCTTGACAGCGGGCACTGCGTCATCTGGCAAGGCAGTGGGCTCCGAGTCAACTGGCATGAAACCGCGGGCACTGGGTCAGACATTGGATCGTCTGGCTGGACAGCGGGCATCGGGTCACCAGGCATCAGGTCATTTGGCTCGACAGCGGGGCACCCGCGTCATCTGGCAAGGCAGTGGGCTCCGAGTCAACTGGCATGACCGCGGGCACTGGGTCAGACATTGGATCGTCTGGCTGGACAGCGGGCATTGGGTCACCAGGCATCAGGTCATTTGGCTCGACAGCCGGGCACCGCGTCATCTGGCAAGGCAGTGGGCTCCAAGTCAACTGGCATTACCCGGCGTAGGCACTGGGTCAGACATTGGATCGTCTGGCTGGACAGTGGGCATTGGGTCACCAAGGCATCAGGTCATTTGGCTCGACAGCGGGCACCGCGTCATCCGGCAAGGCAGTGGGCACCAAGTCACCAGGGCACGACAGTGGGCTCTGAGTCAATTGGCACGACAGCGGGCACCGGGTCATCAGGTACCGGATTGTCTGGCTCGACAGCGGGCATCGGGTCACCAGGTATTGACAGCGGGCACTGGGTCACCAGGCATCAGGTCATTTGGCTTGCCAGCGGGCACCGCGTCATCTGGCAAGGCAGTGGGCACTGAGTCACCAGGCACGACAGAGCGGGCTCTGAGTCAATTGGCACGACAGCGGGCACCGGATCAGGTACCGGATCGTCTGGATCAACAGCGGGCATCGAGTCAACTGGCCTAATAGGGTCATCAGGCTGGATCAGTTCATCATGCTGGGTAGAGGCATCAGGCTGAATGGAAGGCTTCAGGCTGAGTAGAGGCTTCAGGCTGAGTAGAGGCATCAGGCTGAGTAGAGGCATCAGGCTGAGTACAGGCATCAGGTCTGGGTACAGGCATCAGGCTGAATAGAAAATAGATGGCATCAGTCTGGGTTACAGGCATCAGGCTGAATAGAGGCATCAGGCTGAGTACAGGCATCAGGCTGGGTACAGGCATCAGGCTGAATAGAGGCATCAGGAGCTGAGTACAGGCATCAGGCTGGGTACAGGCTTCAGGCTGGGTACACAGGCATCAGGCTGGGTACAGGCATCAGGCTGGGTACAGACCTCAGGCTGAAGTGCGGGTGCCGAGGCACCAGGTTGAACCACGGAAGGCAGGTTCTCAGACGGCAGGCTCACCGGTTTGGATACTGGCAGGATGGTATTGGTTGGAAAGAATTTTCGCTTTTTTTTTGGTTTTAACTACTGGAGCACTGCAAGTAAACGCAGGTTTGCAAACGAATGGAGCAGCTGGAGACAGAGAACAGAGCTGGAGGATGGAACAGGGAGGGGAACAGTTTGCTACAAGTGAGGGCTTTTTTACAGGGTTAAAGGCAGGATAGGTGCAGCGAGTGGGAACAGGGTACAGCTGACATGCGGTAGATAGCAGGGCAGGAGGAGCTGTTGGGAATGCAGGAATAGAGCTTTGAGGAGAAAATAGATTAGAAGACAGGACTGGGTTTTTTGTAAGCTGACTGAGGCTGGGTGCAACAAATTCTGTCCATGTCTGCAGTATGGGTTGAACAAAAGCTGAGCTTACACAAAGCCTGTCTGACCAAAGACTGCACTGGTTTTATACAATCTCTTAGTACCAGTGGTGAACATGTGACAGAATAACGCTCCGAAAGTAATCCACATCATCCTCTAATAACCATACCAGGGACTCTACCTGGTCTGCACTAAATGGCGGCAAAAATTCATCCCTGCATTCGGGAGGTACCAGATGAAACCAACTCTCTACGCACAAAAACTGAATCAAATGGCTGCACCTCAGAGAAATCTGTGCCCTGATCTACTAGAAACATGAGCGAGCCGAATACATTCTAGCAGTTCATCCTGGGATACTCCTTCAGAGTCTGATAAGCATACTCTCTGTCATCAAAACACTAGCAGATATAAATACACAACCTCATCAAGATCCATCCTTCCATCAACAAACCAAGATGGCTTCTCTGTGCAGCCACTTCTGGTCAGGATTGGCCTTGGTGTAATGTCAGAGGCTCCGGGTGTCGAGGGCAGGGTCGAATGACTGGACGAGGGGAAGGAGGGCAGGCGAACGAATGAGCGAATATTGAGGACTGGACGCAGGGAAACGCAGAGCAGTCAGATAGTGTTATAAATATAATTTATTAACTAGCAAACAATTATAGATGAGCGAATTATTCAAAAATTCGATTCGGCCGAGATTCGCCGGAATTTCACAGGGAAGAAATCAGATTCGATGCGAAGGATGAATGAGAAGAAGGATGAGAAGAAGGGCAGAAGGAGGAGAGAATGATGAGAGAAGGAGAAGGATGGAAGAAGGAAGAAGAGAAGGAGATAGGATGAAGAAGGAGAAGGAAGAAGAAAGATGGAAGAAGGAGAAGGAGAAGGAAGGAGAAGAAGGAGAAGGAGATGATGAAAGGAGAAGGATGAGAAGAATGAGAAGGAGAAGGATGAGAAGAAGGAGAAGAAGAATGAGAAGAAAGCGAGAAGGATGAGAAGAAGGAGAAGATGAGAAGAAGAAGAAGGAGAAGAAGAGAAGGATGAGAAGAAGGAGAAGAAGAGAAGAAGGAGAAAGAAGAGAAGGATGATAAGAAGAAGGAGAAGGGACAGAGAAGGAGAAAAGAAGGAAGAAGGAAGAAGAAAGGAAGAAGGAGAAGAATGAAGAAGAAGAAGAAGAATGAAAGAACAAAGAAGAATGAGAGAAGGATGAGAAGAAGGAAGGAGAAATGAGAAAAGAAAAGAAGGATAGAAGAATGAGAAGGAAGAAGTAAGGAAGGAAGAAGAAGATGGATGAAGGAAGGATGAGAAGAAGGAGAAGGAAGAAGAAGGATGAAGAAGAAGAGAAGAAGGAGAAGGAGAAGGATGAAGAAGGAAATGAGTTCTAGAAGGGAAGAAGGATGAGAAGAAGAATAGAAGAGATTCAGAAGATGACTCAAGGAAGGATGAGGAAGGAAGGATGAGAAGAAGGAGAAGGAGCCTCTGAGAAGAAGGAAGAAGAAGGATAAAGATGAGAAGAGGAAAAGGAAGGATGAGAAGAAGGAGAAGGAGAAAAGGAGGAAGTGATCAGAGGAAGAATGAGAAGGAAGGATCCAGATAGGACTAAATGAGAAGGATTCAGGAAGAAGCAAGTTTCTGAAAGGAAGATGAGAGATCTTCTAAAGAAAGGAGGGGATCCTCTTTAGGAAACAAATGTGAGAAAGAAGTTAGAAGGCCTGGAGTGAAAGTGTCATGAACTGGAGAAAGAAGCGATGAGAAGAAGGAAGGAGATCTGATGAGAAGAAGCCAAGGGATGTGGAATGATTCATATTTTCATCCTACTTCTTCTTCTCTTCTTCTTCTCTTCAATCCTCATCCTTCTCACAAGGAGGAAGGAAGAAGAGGAAGGAAATGAAAGGGAAGAAGAAGGAGAGAAAAATTAAGAATAATTTCATCCAAGCCGGCAAAAAGTGTATCTGCATAGCTGTCTAATAGAACTAGGAAGAAATACAGAACAGATGAAAAGATTAAGAGGAGGGGAGAAGAATTCATATCTGACAGAGCTCCTCTAATGTGTATCTGCAGAGCTCCTCTAAGTGTATCAGCAGAATAGAGGGAGCTCTGCAGATACACTTTTTTTTTTGGCTTGGAATTATTCTTATTTTCATCCTACTTCTTCTTCTTCTTCAACTTGTCCTCCCTCTTCTTCTTCTTCTGAGGATGAGGGATGAAGGATGAGGATGAAGAAGAAGAAGAAGAAGTAGGAATGAAAATAAGAAATTCCAAGCCGGCAAAAAGTGTATCTGCAGAGCTCCTCTAAGTGTATCTGCAGAGCACCTCTAAAATGTCAGAAATAGCGGAGCTCTCTGCAGGGACACTTTTGCCGGCTGACAGGGTGGGAAAAATCCCGATTCGCGCACCCGAAGTAGGGCAAATGATTCGGATTTTCGACGCGAATCGAATTTTTCCTGAAATTCGTATCGAATTCCGGTTCGCCTGGTTCGATTCGCTCATCTCTACTAACAATACATAAATGCAGTGCAATACTAAAACATACACAGTGCAAATGAACCAACCACCCACAGATAACAGTACATACAATGCAAGCGTCCGTCAGGCAGTCCGGGGATTATCAACAGGAGGTCAGAACGTATGGGGTTAAGCAGGAAGAATGGTCAGACAAAGCCAGGGATCAGGAGCAGGAGAATGGTCAGACAAAGCCAGGGATCAGGAGCAGGAGAATGGTCAGACAAAGCCAGGGATCAGGAGCAGGAGAATGGTCAGACAAAGCCAGGGATCAGGAGCAGGAGAATGGTCAGACAAAGACAGGGATCAGGAGCAGGAGAATGGTCAGACAAAGACAGGGATCAGGAGCAGGAGAATGGTCAGACAAAGCCAGGGGATCAGGAGCAGGAGAATGGTCAGACAAAGCCAGGGATCAGAGCAGGGTCAGCAACGAATCAGACAGGAACAGGAACAGGGAGCAGGAACAGGATACAGGGCCCAGGAGAAACACACACCAAGGCAGAGTCTGCAGGTCTGGCCATCCCTTAAATACACCAGTATAAGCAGTTTCAGGTGTTTGGCTGGCTGCAAGGTTGAGTCTCTGATTGCTGGGGAGCACCCGCTGGCCAGCCCTGGTACTGCAGCCCATAAGGCAGGTGAGTCCCCACCATTGCTGGCCAGTCCATTCCTGACAACGAGATTGCGTGAAACGCATTAACAGGTCCTGTATTCATGTCCTGGGTTTTGTTTTGTGTGTCCTATGGATCAATAAATACACACTATATTCATCTATTCTCCGGTGTGCGGCTGACCCTTCTTCCTATTGTGATTTCTTGATTGGTAGAGAGCTCATAACAGAAATTAATGTGGTTTACGCTTGCTTGCTCATATTGACTTTTACTGACTAAAGTGGCAGCTTACTATAAAACAATATTGTGTGGGCTTTCTACCAATCTTCCAAGAGCGCTTAATACTGTTGGTATAATCGGATTCTGTGTTGCGCGCTCTTAGCGCAGCCCACGTCAAAACTACTCAAAGAAAACATTTTTCTCACCCCGACAGTTGCTTCCTGACCCTTTCTTCCAGTTCAGCAGTTAGAGCAAGATTTTGTAAGTGAGACTTTCCTCCTGGGCTTTCACTTGTCACTCTCTTCACCAAATCATCTGGTGTGATCGTGGTGGCTATGTTCACTTGCCCTATCACCATATGGGGTTTTAACCTAAATCGGGCTGTCAGTAATGTTCCGCACACTGACTGAAACTCTGCCTCTACTCTGTGACAGTGGTCTTGTGGGCACTATTTCTGG